TGATGTCCTTCCTTGTGAGGAGAGAGAGAGACCACACACAGAGTGTGGCACAGTTATCTCAAACGGCTTCATCGTAGGAAGCAGATATCTGGAAATGGGTCCGGGAATTGGGACATCGTCATCTCCTCCTGGTTCTTCACCTGAAGAAAAAGCAGAAAGAGGCTGGATCCCTTCCTTCTGTGGTGCAAGTGGGGGAGTAGGTATGAGATTTCCCACCCTGGCTTAGAAGGTCTGGACTGTCTTTGTGTCCCTGGGTGCCTCTGGTGTGTCTTCTGGAGCTAGCAGACTGAGGACAGGGACCGGAGGAACCAAGCTTCAAGGTACACTGTTCTCAGGCACAAACCTGAGTGCAGGTAGCCTTCTGGGAAGTGTCCGTGCTTGCTGCAAGTCCTCAGCAGCTGCCCAATGTCACTGGTTTTATTAACCTTTCCTACACATAGCAGAGAATCTTGTGTCTCTCCACACGAGTGCTCTGGAATTTCACTTATTTAGTGTTGGGTTCCGTCCTCCCCACTTTTCCATAGAACCTTATGAACATCCCCCTGGGTGGATTTCTGAAAGAATAGGTCATCTCGTTTGCATAAGTGAGTTTGAGAGAAGCGGGTATGTGGGGTGCACTTGGGCCCAGGAGTCAATGCTAGCCTGTTCTCTCCCTGGTCCTCAATTCTTCCCATCAGGAGGGAGACAGTTAATGGAGTTGGTCCCTGGCCAATGTCCCTGCCTGTTCCCGAGCTTGAAGAAGCTCTGGCTGTCCCATCAGGATCACTGTGCCAAAGAAATTTGGTGCTGGAAGGTCTGGGGCACTTTTCTAACCTTCTAGTTTCCTCTTCTTGCTCTGAGAGGCAGGGAGGAGGAGGAGGAGGTGGAGGAGGAGAAAGAGGAGGAGAAGGAGGAGGAGGGGGCACGCACAGGAAAAGTGCTGCTCTGGACAGTCCGAAGGCCCTAGTAACAAAGGGAGAAGCGAGAGATCCTCTCCCAGCAACTGGGCAGATGCCCATTAGCACCCTCTCCCTCCCTCCAGTTTGTTCCCTGAGGTGGTGTGGGGATGTACCTGATCCTGACCAACCACAGGAAGCCATCTTTTAGACAGGGATTGGGAACTGGAAGGATTAGAAAAGAGAAAGATGCCTCCTCCACGCCATGCAGAAGGCTGTACCACAGGGCATGGAGCCACAGGTGCTGGGCAGGCATGGCTTCCAGCATGAGGTGGTGTGGGAGGGGGTTCATTCTTGAATGTCACTGACAGCGCAGAGGGCTAGGAGCAATGCCAAGGCCTCCCAGTCCTCATGTCCAGAAGCTTCTCGACAAAGCATCTGCTGTGTGCCTCTCAGTGTACAGCCAGAGAACAGGCATTTACTATCTAAATGCCGCACTCAGAATCTGACTTCCTAACAGCAGTGGGGAAACCTACAGGACTGGTCCTAACCCCTTAAGCCTCCCCATCGGACCCAGCCTAACTTGAACTTCTCATCCACCTTCATCTTAGATGCATCAGCCCACAGATGCATCAACCCGCAGGTACACCATCACCACATAAGTGTGTCATCACCACACAGGTGCATCACCAACACACAGATGCATCACCGGCACGCAGGGCATAACCACTACACAAGTGCATCACCACACAGGTGTATCATTGCCTCACAGGTGCATCGCCTCACAGGTGCATCTCCCTGCAGGTGCATCACTTGGATCCCTCCTTCCTGCATCGCTTTTACTTCTGTGTTGCCTGGATACCTTCCATCTCCCCTCCCCTCTATCTTCCCCCCCACCAAGCAGGAAGTAATCTTTCTCCTCAGTATACTTGGAACTCTTGCTCTCCACTTGGTTGTGGCATACATCAATTTCCCCTTCTTATCCTAGTTTCCCACCTGCATATCTTATATCATCTCTGAGTTGGCAAGCGCCTTAATGATGGGAGTCATAGCTCATCCGCTTTTATGGCCACACTGCACCCAGCATTGCAAATGTTGATTGAATGATAAGAAACTCAGCCTAGTGACATGCTGGGGATGCAAGTCATCATGAGAAAGTTGTTCGTCTCTGCTTTGCTGTTGAAGTGGAGGACATCTCTTGTCCAGGGAAAGTGAAGGTAAGGGGCTCTCTCTCTGAGTTGTAAGCAACTGACAGCTGCTTCTGGGTCAATTACTAGGTAGTGGTGTTAGGTGCTGAGGGCGCTACAGGTGGGGACAGCACCCAGCTGTCACTCTCCCCCTCCCAGCCTCTTCCTAATGAACTCAGCTCCCCAGCCACACATGTAGTCCAACCACACTGGTGACAAGAATCCTACAGTGAAGAAGCCCTCTCGTTGCTCACAGTACCTTCCCCAGTGCCACCTCTTGACCCCTTGGTGTGCTCAGACCTGCCCTTCTTTGCTTTGAATGTCTTTAGTCAAATATATTGTATTTCTTCTCACCTTTAGCTGCTCAGTTCTCCGTCATCCTGTCCATCCTCTGCACACATCAGAATATCTGTCATAATTGCAAGGTTCAAGGGTTAAGGCTGCACTCTTCTCCCAAGCAAGCTTTCAGGATTCAAAGAACTCACTGTTTCTTTCCCTGATGTATCCCATACCCATTGCTCGTTGGTGTCATTTTTGTGTTAGGATAGAAGACTAAGCTGCTATAATACGATTGTTTAAGCAACAGTGGGATGTTTGAATAACAAAGTGCATTTCTCTCATACCCAGTAGTATTTGTGGGGTGAGTGGCTTGGATTGATGGGCCCTTTCTTCTCTGGGTGGCATTTAGAGGCCAGTTTCCTCCACTGTGAGGTTCTGCCCTGCCTGAGGCACTGTGGCCAGAGCCATGTCTGAAGCTGGGTCATGGTCATTTGTTGGTCAATAGGAAGGAAAAAGAGAGCTCGGTTGCTGTGCTCACACCACTGCTCCCTTCTCCCTGAGCTCTGTTTTGACCAGTGTGATAACCTGGCTTCTGCAGTGACAGTACTGCAATGAACAAGGCAGACTGCCCCAGGTTTAAAGCTGTGCTAGATGGAATCCTACAAATGTTTCCCAAGATCCCTGTCCCAGCCAGGTGTGATGGTGTAGGCCTGCTATCCCACAGGCTGCAACAGAAGGATCGCAAGTGCACACCCAGCTAATTCAGTATATTAGCTCAATTCTGTCTCAAAATAAAAAAAGGAACTGGGGATGTAGCTTCCTATGAAGGCCCTGGGTTCAATCCCCAGTACTGTAAGGGAAACAAAAATCCCAGTCCCTTGATTATTCAAGTACACCAACACATATGGAGTAGTGAAAAGAGCACCAGCCTCTGAGTCACAAGCTTGACCATGACTGACTAGGTACTGTTGTAAAGGGATTTTGTAAATGTGATTTAGGGTACTAATTAGCTGACCTTAAAATAGGTGCATTATCTTGGATTTCTAGGTGGACTCATCATAACTACACAAGAGGGTTCATGGGTTTGGATGTGGGAGTGCAAGGACCAGAAAGAAACCTCTACCTAGAGTAAAAGCAGAGCGGAGTCCCCAGCCATGGACAGCCAGGAAACGAGCTAGAGTCCTACAACCACGAGGAACCAAACTTGGCCAAGAACTTGAGCGAGTTTGGAAACAGATTCTTCTCAGAGCTCCCAACAGGGTCTGGTCAACAGACACCATGATGTTGTCCTTTCAGAACCTGGAGCCAACTTGGACTTCTGACCCGGTTGAAATAGATGTGTGTTGGGTTAGGCCACTAGGTTTGTGATAACTTGCTATGGCAGCAACAGGGAATGAATGCAGAGGCCTCACACAACCTCTCTCTTCATGTTTGTGGTCTGCAGTTTGGTTGTGATGGGGCTGACCTGGGCTGGGATGGGCTGCACTGCAGACACCTGCGCTGGGTGAGGCGCATTGCTGTTACCTGCAGAGCCAGGATATATAATTCTGCTAAAGGAGAGCATGGAAAACTGGAGACCGCCATCCACTTAGCATAGCTTCCTGTTAATGATTCAACCCGATCCTCTCTACCGTGCTGTTTTCCCATTGCATCACCATGGTCCTACACACAACTCACCTGCTTCTTGTGGTTATTTACTTGTGTATGTGTACCTCCCATCCTAGAACTTCCCACCTCCGTGGAGGTAGGAGGCAGTGTCTCTGTTGTTCCCTATGTATCTTAAGCACTGAGATCAGATCTGGAACATAGCAGGAGGTCAATATGTGTTTGCTGAGTGAATGACTGATCTTAGCCAGGATGTCACCAACTGCCACAGTCCTCACTGTGGGCCATGATTCAGTTTGTGCAGGAAAAACAACCCTCACCACAGCCCAGTGAGGTGGACAAAAGCCTCATCACAATGCAAAAACAAACTCAATTCCCAGTTCTCATTTGGAATCTCTGATGGTATCAAGGAGTTGGAGGAAGTGCTAAAAATAATCCTCCAAAAAATCATCTGCGAGAACAACGCTCTTCCCCTCCGGCTGGCGGTTGGCGGGGCCCTGGGTCTATAAATTCAAACCACTGGGCGTGCCAATCCCCAAAGACTTCACTCCTGGAGCTAAGATAATAATCCCAGGGTTTTGGCAGGATTTTCTGGATCTCACTCAGCTTCTCTTCAGCATGAAAGGACGGCCCGTCCCTGCCAAATGGAACCACCTCGGAAAAGTTGGCCAGGACTGTTAGCGCCTCTCCTCACAGAGTTGGCTAATTGGCGGATTCCGCCGGTGTCTGTAGTGTGCCCAGTGTGTGCCTCTGTTAACCCACTCAGGTCTGCACACAGCAGGTGTTGTTTTCATCCACTTCGTAGATGGGAAATGAACTGACTTCCCCAAAGTTACAGAACAGAGGCGGTGGAGCAGAGCCTCACAGTCAGACCTGTGGAGCAGACCCTCACAGTCAGACCTGTGGCTCAGAGGCCAGCCCTGCTTTCACTACACCATGTGGGTGGAAGGTTCTAGAATTCGTGAAACTTGGTATGGCTGGAACAGTCTAGCGTTGGGTGCTGGAGGAGGGGTGTGTGTGTGTATGTGTGTGTGGTCTTCTATAACCTGTGACCTGGCTCCTTGCATTCCCTAGATCCTTCTCAGGACTCCTGAGCTCTCTGCAGAGGAACGTGGTGGCCTGGGAAGGTGCACGTGTTGGAACAAAAGAGCCACAAGAGGAGTAGGGATCAGGGTCAGACCTGGTGACAGGTCTAGACTGGAATCAGTGCTCAGTGGACCCAAGGATCTTCCCAGAATTCATTAGCATCATCCCCACCACAGCCGTAATGTTTTCGCTAATATTATTTCTTATCAGCTGTAAAAATCACCATTGCACCACTGCAAGGTTGGTATTTATCAATGCAATATTAATAATTAATACTAAAATACCTATCAACTTTATCATTATTACATTATCACTCTCACTGTCATAATCATCATATTATAATATCAGATTAATCACATTATGCATCATAATATGTAATCATCTCACTATATCATCATCATAATAATATGATAAACACTTACTACACTTGCTATGCATCAGGCATCCATTAAAAACCTAGTTCAGATAGTAAAATGATCCTCATTTGACAGAAAAAGAAACCGAGGCACGTTCAAGATCCTGTCTGAAGATATCCCTCAGTAATGGTGGAGCAGGGGAGAGCCCGGCAGGCTGATTTCGGGGCCTGAGAATACAGATATTATGCTTTCATTTAAAATGCTGCATTATCAAGTGCTCCAGTCTCACCCACTCAGAGTAAGAGGAGGAGCTGGAAGGCTAAGGGTTGGGAGACCCAGGATCAGAAGGCCTTGACCTCCCAGAGACAGGGGCGGGGGGAGTGGTTCAGCAGTTGTATTAAAATGCAAATTTCTGCCTTGCTTGCTGGTTTATCATCTGACTCGTTATACAATTTGCCAGTTATAGAAGAAAAATTACCATAATGGGGCCCTAGGGAATGGTTGTAAAAAGGAGACCAAACGTTACTTATCGGCCGTTCCACTACAATTATCTTCCACGTTTATTCTTTTCCTGCTCAGAAAAATGAAACCATCAATGCCAGGGACAGCATACTGACCAGGCAGGAGGCAGAGGCTCGGCCTTTGACATACTTTCTCCCTCTGCTCACCCTGCTGGCCTGGCCACTGTTCTCTGTGCCAGCAGACTGGAGGAAAATTTTCCAAGCGGGAAGAGAGATCGATGTTCTGCAGGGGAAGTTCAAGCATCTCCTTCCCTTCCCTGCTGTAAGACTGGCAGATCCCCTTTCCTGGGGGCTTTCGGTAGAGGTGGGACAATTAGGAGGACCTGAGCCTAATCCCTTGGCCACAACAGGTGCCAGACAGGTCCCGTGGGTTCAGGGAGGCTGAGGCAGGCAGGCTCCCACAAGAGGGCAGTCGCTGTGTGGGGCAGACCCCTGGCAACTCAAGCTCTGAAGTTGTCTTTCGAGCCTATGTGTGCCAGCCTTACCCTGCTCCTGGGCTCCTCGCAGGCAGGGGCTGAGCCTTTTCAATTTGATTCTCTCTGTATCTAGCCTAGTGCTTGGAACCTAATAAGCAGGAAATAAATATTTGATGAATGAATGAAAGTGTCTGTCTGTGAGCACGTGTCTGTGTGTTTCCAGGTTATTCCAAAGGCCTCCCTGTGGGCTGGCTTCTTTCAGGTCTAGCCAAATCTTCTCCAAGCCCCAAGGCCTCTGATGATTTCTTAGGCTGCTATAATCAGCATATGAAAACAGACACGGGAGCGGATAATGATGCTCTGCAGGCTGCCTATGCATACTGTTTAGATATTTATGCTTTTTGCAAATCCTAGGCTTTCCTGTCGTCCTTTTGTGCTCCACCATGGACTCAGAACTTCTCTTGTCTTAGTTCCTGGGCCACTTGCTCCCCATTTAGTTATGCCACAATACAAAAAGTAAGCCCTCAGTTCTCCTTAGTTAAATTTGCAAAGGAGAAATTCAAAGCCACCGTACCAAATGCTTGGCAACCCTGCCTAACAAGGAGCCCTCTAACCTCCAGCTTCTTCGTCTCTCTGCAGAGAGAGTCCAGGCATGACTTGGCTTTTGCACAACTTCTCAGAAGTTATACTCAAGTTGGAGAAGCTGCACCATGGCAGCTGGGGCTGGTGTTAGAGAGATCAGCGGATACCGTCCCAGTTTGATCTCTGGCTCTCTACCCTGATTAGTGGTAAAAATCATGTTCATGCTCTGGGTGGCCAGGCAGTTAGGTCACTTCCCAGAAGAGGCTTCCAGAACCTTATAATTTGTACCTCTAAGCCTTGTGGCTAAGGGGACAAGCATTCCCCATGGCTGGAAGTTTCTTTCCCAATAGGAAGGTGGAGCTCTGAGGTGAGAACGTGCAACGGTTTCTGGTGACAATCACGAATCTCTCGAGCAGGGGCCGGTCAGCAACTACAGCCCAAGGGTCAACGATAGCCTGCCATCTGTTATTTATAACTTGTGAGCTAAAAATGCTTTTTGCTTTTCCAAATGGTGGGAGAAAGTAAAAAGAATATTATTCCATGACACATGACAGTGATATCAAGTTCATGTTCCAGTGGTCATGAATACGGATTCATTGGAACACAGCCATGCTCATTTACGTGCTTATTGTCTAGGGATGATTTTGCACCAACAGTTGCAGAGCTGAGTGGTTGTGATAAAGACCACATGGCCTAGATGGGTATGATGGCACGTGCCTATAACCCCAGAACTCAGGGAGGTTGAAGCAGGAGGATCACAAGCTTAAGCCCAGCCTGGGAAATTCAGTGACTTAATGAGAACTTGTCTTTTAATAAAGGAGGTGGGGGAAATGTAGCTCAGTGCAAAGGCCCTGAGCTCAATTCTCAGTATCACAAAGAAAAAAATAAAATGACAGGGCCTGCAAAGCCTGTAAGAGTCACCATTTGATTCTTTACAGAAAGCGTCTGTTAAATCCTGCCGCAGAGCTTGGACTGTCCCTCTGACCCCACCCCTTCCCCAGTGTGGCACCTGAGCAATCTGAACATCACAGGAAATATTTTTGTTTTGGGGGGAGATTTTTGTGCTATGTTACCTTGTACTTGTAGAAACGAAGAGAGAGAAGGGAGGAAGGAGGAAGCGGAGGGTACCAGTTCTGCACACAGTATTTCTCATGGTCCTGCTCAAGTCATCTTAGTTGGCTTCATTCTCACCTTGGAAAACAGTGCTGCCAGAAGGGGATGGGGAAATATCAGACAGACAGGTCTGCAGTACTGATCTGGGGACCCAGAAAGCCAGACCTCTAAGAATTGACTTCACTTGTGCTCCATTTGTCCCTGCCTTGAGGGCACTCGTCAGACACATTCCAATGTGGGTAGTGAAGGTATAGTCATCACACACGTGCGATAGTAAATATCCACCTTACAGACTTTTACTTGTCACTACCGCAGGCAAACCCTGTGACACTCAGTGAGAAGCAGTATTATCAGTAGGGCAGGTGCTCTGTGCTCAGAGAATTTTGATGCCTTTGTGGCCATTGTAAGTACAGCCCGTCCCAAGCCTACACCAGTATGCTAAGTACCTGTCATGGAGCACCCATAACTTTCACATGCACGATTTCCACAACCACCTCTTGGTGGGAGGTACAATTAACTTCCTTTACAGAAGAGGGGACAAAGGTTCAGTGCCCAGATTCTCCCATCTAGTGGGGGTCTCCGGATCTGCTGGCCTCCAAAGCCCAAGGCTGTTTCACTGCCTGCAGATAGCATAACTTTGTCTGCAGGGACAGAGGAAAGCACATGAAAAGATGGTGCTACTGCTGTTCTGTGACTTAGCTCAGCAGAAGGAAAAAAGAAGAGAGAGCTGCCCCACCTTGGCAAGAGCCTCCCTGTTGATGCTTAGGGACCATTCTGAAAGGAAATTTTTAAGCTTTCTGGCCTCCTGGGAGCCATACTTTACTTTGAGCTGTGCAAGTGGGTACCAAAGGATGAGGTGATGGGCTTGTTTCATTCTGCCTCGAATTATTCACTGGCACACCTGTCCTCCCTGGATTATAAACCCTTTGGCTGCAGGAACAGTCTCTCAGTCTCTCTCGGATTTGCCAAACAGACAAATATTAAGTGCCTACTGTCTGCCAGACAATCTGCTAGCTGTGGGACACAGTGCTCTATATATGGTAGGTGTTTAGGAAATGCTGATTATATGAATGAGTCTCTGCTGATTCAGTTTGCACCAGTGCCAGACTTTTTCTAGGGGCTTCCAGGAGATACCAGAGTCCTTAAAAGAAACAGGAGGGAGGAAACAGATATTTGGGGTAGCCTCATTTCTCCTGTCACCTCATCCATCTGCACTGCTGCTCTGAAAGGAATGTTCTGTCCATCACAGAAGGGTCAGCAGGTCAGTGTTCACAGCTGCTGTTTCTACCCAGTGGCAGTTTTTAGGAATCCCTAAGGAGGCAAAGATTCTTCTTCTTCTTTCAATCCTCATTCACCTTGTCCTGAAACCTCTCTTTAGTTCTAACCCCATTACTATATTCACTTCCCATAAACTCTTCTCAGTTAAAAATCACAGGATTTCCAACAATGAAGACTTCAGGTGATACTAGGAGAGGAACCTCCATTTCTCTTTGTGAAACCAGTAAACCTGACTTTTAGGAGAAAAGGCCTGTACTGTTGGGACAAAAGCAGACTTCCTTCCCTCCAGATTTGCCTTCCCCACAGTGTGTTGCTCGGCCCTCCAATCCGGTTGCCCCTCCTCAGCCCTCAAAGTCATGTATGGATACTTGGAGGTTGAACAACATTCAAGACAATACTCAATGTCAGGGTTTATCAACAGAAACACTGGTAGGGTGACATACCAGATGACCCAGCTCCCCAGTGAGATCTTGCTCTCTGAAGATCTCTTTTGTCTTTGTTCTAGAAAAAGCCAGGGAGGTGGTGGCACTCTTGTGGCATCTGTCATCCAGATCCATCACTTGGACAGCTGTCCCCCTCCAGGTTAGGCCAGGAGGTGAAGGCCAGCGACTCATCACTGACTCTGGTTTCCAGTTGGAGGATGCATCACCTCTTTGGACAATAGATAATAGGTGACTTGAGCCTCCATGAAGAGATACGACCTTCAAATCTGTGAACTGTACAGGGCAAACTGGCAGAACACCACCAGTCAGCCCCATTTCCATGCAAGAGATGTGCACCAGCACAATGGGTCATTTGGTAACCATCACTCATTTTAAGAATGGGGAGATGTACAGAATGTGCCCTTTTTGTTGCTTCTGTCCCCTCCTCTTTCCAGTCCTCAAAATTGTCAAAGTGTCTGTTGTGGTTGATATCTAGATGTCCCCCCACAACCTCATGTGCTCATAGGTGGACATGATCCAAAACTGGATCATGGGTGTGTGTTACTCATCATTGGACTTGTCCACTGATGGGTTTATGGCTAGGTGTGATGTTAGGTTGTGAAGCCTGCTAAGAAGAGGTGGGTCTCTGGGGGCACAGCCTGGAAGGGTTTAAATGTATATCCCTCCTTCCCCCTTGATCCCTCTCTTCCCGCTGTCATACCATGAGCTCTTTCTCCTCTGCCATGATCTTCTGCCACATTACCTTGCCTTGGAGTTAGCACACTATGGACTGGAACCTCTATAAACTGTGAGCCAAAAGAAACCTTTCCTTCTTTCACTGTAGGTTTTGGGTATTGTGTCCTAGCAATGAGGAAGAAACTAAGACAGTGCCGCTTGTTCTCCACACAGTGTTCTACCGCTAGGTGGGCAGAATCTGTCTTGTTGCACCTGAGAAAGAGCGTGGGTGCCTGTGGTCCTTAAAATGGCTCCCCAAAGTCTCCTGAGGGCTTTAGGATCACATGTGAAGTCATTAACATCAAGTTGCTCTTCTGTGCTCCTGCCCCTCCAATGCTCTATGCACTTATTTTTTTTTGGTTCCAGTGATCTAGATTCAGTCACTTGGGGCCCATGAGAATCTACTTGTGTTGGGTGTTGAACAACAGCCCTGGCCTCTGCACCCCTACATACTAGTAGCACCACCTCTTCCAATGTCTCCAGTTATAGCCAAATGACCTCTCGGAGAAAAGATCACCCTGTGCTGAAAATCACTGAGAAAAAGGAAACGAGCACTGGGTGGGACGTTTCATTTATTTTGAATTCATGACTGTGGCACAAAAGCTCCCTGATGGCTACCAGTCCTTGACCTTGGACTGTTCAAATCTACATCAGCCTTCAGAGCCTACTCTGCTCACATCAAGCACACACACCCTATACACCAGGGCACACCTCATCAGACTCCTGCAGGAGACCTGCCTTGGCGTCAGCTCCCGGAAGCGGAAGGGCGGTGAGGAATGTTGATGAGAAGCTGATTAAGGAATCAGCACAGTAAAGGGCAAAGAGATCTGACTCAGAGAGGTGAGCAGGCCAGCTGGAGGTTGTGATGAACCAAAATAGGATGTCACAGCCCAGGTTTGGGGGTGCATACCAGAGAGTGCACAGGAGGTAACGCTGTTTGTTAAACATTTGGAGCTTAAAATTGACGCGATGGCTTTATCTCCTTCAACCTTCTGATGCATCGACTATTTGATCAACTGTGAATCCCTTTGC